TGAATTTCTTTATTCCATCCTTAATTTCTTCTATAACCCAGCAGTTTTTGAGCAAGGTGTTGTTCAGTTTCCATGTGTTTGATTTTTTAGTAAAAAATACTATGGAAGCAGAGATGAACGATTTTTTCTGGCTGAAAGTATGGGGAAAACTTTATGGAGAACAAAGATAATAAAAGCTTAGTATGGCTTTTATCTAACAAAAATAGAAAACATAGTAACAGGTAATTATAATAGATACTGCTAAGAGAGATATAAAATGATTTTACTTACAAGTAGAAATATCTGGATTTTACTTTTTTTTTTTAAGGTGGTGATAGTGGACTGGATGGGTTAGGAGGACCAGGTGTACAGCTAGGAAGCCCAGATAAGAAAAAACGTAAGGCAAATACACAGGTAAGTTGACATTTTCTTTAGTGACATTTTTTTCTTCACTGGTATGATCAGTCTGATGAAGTAAATTTAAATTTACGTACAGATTTTATTTCCTATCATCATTCAGAACCTAATAGTGAATTCTGCAGCGACTTTTTTTTTTTTTTTACTCTGCAAACACTAGCTATTGCTGGCCTGTAGGCCTGGAGAAGATACTGGAAGAAGGAAGTGTGGGCAGAAATATTAAAATATTTCTTATTAAATCTAATTTAAGGGATAGATTTTTAAAAAGCAGAAATGTCTGTACTCCTATTAAAAGATTTAAAAATATATGAAAACAAGTTTAGCCTGAAATAATGTTAAACTGTGATATAATTCAGTATTGTGTGCAGATCAGAAGAGACAACCTTTGTCTAACTTGTGGTTCTGATAGTTACAGATACAGGCTTTCGTGTTTTTATTCTCTGTAAATTTGAAGCATTCTTGTGATAAAGGCCGCGGATAAGTCTGTGTGTACAGATTACTTTTTTTTTTTTTCTTTTTCATTTTGGCCACCATCTGTTAAGTTTATTGTGTGACTAAAACTGGCAGTTTACTTTTCCAGTGTGAGACCTAGAGCTTATTGCTTTGGGAATACTTTAAATAGCTTCACCCTGAAGTTAAGTTAAAATTTAGAACCTGTTTATTGTTTAATTTTATGGATATTCAGGGTCTAAAAGGTATTTTTGATTATAATGCTTTAATATTTTAAGTGAAATATTCTAGAGTACAGGCAAGCACATTAAACGAAAATTATGATGATAAAGCCTGTCTTGAAAAGCTAAATAATTTGAGGGTTTTAAGTAAAAATAGGGTTGTGCTCAGAAGAGCATATCTCATGTCCTTTTCTAAGAGGAACTTACATATTTTCATCATTAAGTATAATTAAATGTAAACATTAATTGGTCTTGAAAGATCAAGTGAATCAAACTTTTGTAACATTGCAAGAGAAAGTTAACTAAAACCAGGTTCATAGGTGTCAGGATAACAGGAAAATTTTAACGACTTGTTTGATCAAAACCACGTGTTTTACTTTGCATTCTCATTTCAGGGACCTTCTTTTCCTCCGTTGTCTGAGTATGCTCCACCACCAAATCCAAACTCAGACCATCTAGTGGCTGCAAATCCGTTTGATGACAACTATAATACTATTTCCTATAAACCACTACCTGCGTCCAGTCCGTATCTTGGCCCTGGTTATCCTGGCTTTGGAGGCTACAGCACGTTCAGAATGCCACCTCACGTTCCCCCAAGAATGTCTTCCCCATACTGTGGTCCCTACTCGCTCAGGAATCAGCCACACCCATTTCCTCAGAATCCTCTGGGCATGGGTTTTAATCGACCTCATGCTTTTAACTTTGGGCCACATGATAATTCAAGTTTTGGAAATCCATCTTATAATAATGCGCTGAGTCAGAATGTTAACATGCCTAATCAACATTTTAGACAAAATCCTGCTGAAAACTTTAGTCAGATTCCTCCACAGAATGCTAGCCAAGTGTCTAACCCTGACTTGGCATCTAATTTTGTCCCTGGAAATAATTCAAATTTTACTTCTCCATTAGAATCTAATCATTCTTTTATTCCTCCCCCAAACAATTTTGGTCAAGCAAAAGCACCACCCCCAAAACAAGACTTTAGTCAAGGAGCAACCAAAAACACTAATCAAAATTCTTCTGCTCATCCACCTCATTTAAACATGGATGACACAGTGAATCAGAGTAATATTGAGTTAAAAAGCGTTAGTCAGAACAATGCAGTAAATCAGGAGAACAGCCGTTCCAGTAGTGCTGAAGCTACAAATACCAGCCACGCAAACGGGACACAGAATAAGGCACGCCAGCCGAGAGCTGCAGCGGATGCCTGCGCCACTGAAAAAAGCAATAAGTCCTCTCTCCACCCAAGCCGCCATGGCCACTCATCTGCCGACCCAGTGTATCCTTGTGGAATTTGTACAAATGAAGTCAACGATGATCAGGATGCCATCTTATGTGAGGCTTCCTGTCAGAAATGGTTTCATCGGATCTGCACTGGAATGACTGAAACAGCTTATGGCCTTCTAACTGCAGAGGCGTCAGCAGTATGGGGCTGTGATACCTGCATGGCTGACAAAGACGCCCAGTTAATGCGCACCAGAGAAACGTTTGGTCCACCCGCAGTGGGCAGCGATGCATAATCACAGGCATTAACCCAGGTGTCTCCCCTGTGGATCACAGAGGTTCAGTGACACAGGATTTTAACGTTTTACATTATTTTTTTAAATGCACACACGAAGAGATTATTTACCTTTTAGTTTTTATTAATATTACACTTCAGTACTAGTGCAAGTTTTGTGTTGTCTTTGTTTGCTGTCTTACACGAGAACAGTGCATATGGGGGTGCTTCAGAGAGTACCCTACAAATAGCCGTTAGGTGTTTTTGCTGACCGTAAACACAAAAGCCTCTTGAAGCTTCAAAATAATAGACAGCAAATGTAGGCAAGTTTTAACGTTTAAAAGTTAGAATCATTGCAGGATGTCTATTTCAGCACTGAACTTTGAAGGTACCACATTCAACATTTAGTTCAAAAAGTTTTTCAAGGATATATTTAACATGGTTTCAGAACAAAATGTGCATAGCTATAATATTAGGGGAAGCATGGATGTTTTTAATGAATGTTTTAAAAAATATTAGCATATTATACCAGATTATTCAATCATTAGGGTCCTTGAAATTAGTGACTTCAGTATTTCCAAGTCAGTCTTTCCAGAATATCTGTTTGAACAGATAGAACACAGATCTTAGCATATAATAGAAGCTCAGTGTTTATTGATTAACTTGTGGATTGTACCACATGAAATTGCTAATATTCAATCAGTTGAAAATTGACCACAATTATGAGAGTTGATATAAAGTCTGTTTCCATTTGTGCTGTTTATAATTATAACAGGATTATGCTCTTCAATTTTCTTTGATTATTGAGTTATTTTTTATTGTTTATTGTTTTTTAGAGAAATAAAAAACAGTATCCTCAGAAGACTTGTGAATACTTTTTTATGACTTTAAACTGGGAAATACTGCAAATAAGGCAAGTAGAAACATCAGTTTGACTTTAGGGGCCTCTGCTAGTAGAAGAACGACTCAGTGGTGGTTTGAGAAGTTTTGTTTGGAACCTGATTTTCAAAAAAGCCTCCGAGGAAATCAAAATCCATTGTAAATGACGATGAAGGTGAAAGTTAACTCACAAACAGCAATCCGAAGCCTGGCAGCTGACCTGGGAGTTTCTGCTGTGACTTGGAGACAGTGTGAAAAATAAACGAGAGAGTATCCTCTTGAGAAGTGATAAAAAATGGAGACGGTTTGAGATGTGCTCGTTAAGATTCAGAACAGCGGGAAAAAAAAAATTCAAAACAGCAGAAACCCATTTTTGGAGTGGATCCTAACCTGTGACAGAAAAGAAGAACAAATGGGTACTGTATCGCAATTGACAGCAGTTTACACAATGGTTAGAAGTTGATGAAGCACCCAGACAGGCACCAGCATTATCACTGCAACCAAAAAAGCTCTGAAGACTGTGTGTGTGGTGGTCTGTGAAAGGAATAATTCATTACTGTTTAAAACAATGACAGCAACAACATATTGTCAAGAAATTAAAATTGTGCATGAAAATTTTGATTTCAAAATGTCTTGATTAATAAGCATAAACTCACACTTTTACATTACACCACTTGGCCTCACGTGTCCCAGACGACTGATGCAGAGTTAACTGAATTGGGTGATAAAATTTAGTCCCATACACCGTGGTCACCGGACCTTAATCCAATGGATATCACTGTTACCATCATTTGTAGCTTTTTTTAAGAAACAGCACATTCCCCAATTGAGAGCAGAAAGTGGAGAATATGAACAATTTATACAGTCTAACAAATGATGAATTTTATAAAAATGAATACACTATTTAATATCCTATTAGAGAAGAGACTATTAATTCTCCTGGTGCATATTTTGATTGAGTAAAACTAATTTTTTTTAATGCAGTGTTTTAATTTTGACCTACAAAAATAGCAATTTCATATGGTACGAGGTAAACAAGGTTTTCTCCATTTACCCTTGACTAGTCAGAGGTGAGTACAAAATATTTTCAAAAGTTGTGAAATACATATCTTTACAGTGTTAGGAAATGAAATGATATGAACTCTAATACTAGGTACTTCTTTGTATGTGAACTTACCAGTTGAAGTAGGTTAAAATGCAATACCTTTGGCTGACTGATATTTGATGGTGTTCAGTAGTATACTTGAAGATCCCATTTTGCTAATGTTGTATTTTTTTGTTAGAGATAGGTAATTTTTTAAATGTTTAAGGACCTAGTTACGTTTTCTTTTGAAATTCCAGTGAGCGCTGATTTTTAAGAGATGATGCACTGCATTGCACTGCATGCTGTGTGCCAGTCCTAGCATCAGATCATGGTTTCTTAAGACTGAATAGAGTAGGTGTTGTGAGGAGAACCTTCTAGTGTTCTCAGGAGTTAACATTTTACATGATAGTACTTGAGTTGTGCTCATTGTTAAGACTGGTTATGCAGTTTCTGTTCTCTGTTGCTTACAATCTCAGTGGTTAGCTGTTCTTGTGAAAATGAACTAACCACTCCCAAACTAATCTAAAGGTACTTGATTTGCAATGTGGTTCTTTCATTTTCCTTTTCCAAGCACTAGTTTTTAAAAACTTACAAGTGAATTTTTATTCAAGTGTTTAGACCCTTAAAGCACCTTACTTAAATAAGAATCTGTAAATATTCAAAAGAAAAACATGTAGTTGATTCCGACAATGAATCCTGACCAAAATATAATCATAACTGATGAATGTTTTTATTCATTTAAGTTAATAATTTTCTTACTAGTTACACATGTCTCTACCTAACACCAGGTCAGAGTTACCTACATACATTTTGGTAGGAAAAGTGATGACCTGTAACAATGGCCCGATGCTAATTTGCCCAATTTGACCCAAAAAAAGCCATTATACAAATTGGTATGGTTTTCTTAGGACAAGCAACAAGCTGCCCTAAATTTTAAAAACTGTGGAAGGAAACGCATATGGGCACAATAATCTTCTGGTAACATTGCGCCTTCTCTGACGTGATCCTTATGCACACTTGTACTGAAAATCACACACACACACACAAACAGTAATTAACTGAGCAGGAAATCTGAGGAGTTTCTCCTACATTGTCAGATTTTGCTAAAGTTCAGCCTGGCTGGCTGTCAGCAGCTGGGCTGTCTGACCAAGGCCAGGTGACTGATGGGAAGCTCCTTTCTCAGAACTGCTTTGTTCATTCACTGGAGAATCCCTAGTCCACTGGCTTCCAGATGCTGCTGGGTTCACTGAGACTGAAATAGCTTAGCTCCTAAAAGGAAAGAAAATATTCTTTGGATAGAGTGCTTAGAATTAGATGTGGTCAGTGTTTTCCTTTTGTGTGAAATACTTTAAAGTACTGCTATTATGATTCTTATCCAATTAGAAAGCTATGTAAATAAAGCTGAAGACTTTCTTGTACTAGTGCGTATTCTTCATAGATAAATGCTATTTAAAGAAATACAGTGTTTGTTTTCTTTGATTAGACTCCCAGCTCTGCCTAGTGGTGGGGAAAAAAACAACAAAACCTCTTAATAGTATAGGTCACCATGAAATCTGCCAGTTTTAATCTCCCCAAGTAAAATAAGTAGCAAGAGTCTTTCATCTAATATTCTTTTCAGACGTATTTGTCTTGAGCATATTGAGTGCTAATACTTATTGTCCAACAAACTGTAGTAATTGTATTTAATAGTAGGAGAATATATAAGCAATGATTTTGTTTAAGGAAGCTCTAAAGAGTTTGGATTTTTTTTTTTTTTGCTGGTGTATAAAGGGTCCATATGCCCGAATATTTGTGCTATTTTGGATTCTTTTAATTAAAAATATTTAACTAAAATCATCGAGGCTCCCAAAGTTCATTTGTAAATAGTGGCCTGGAACTCTGTATAAAATGATTAGATTCCTGGGGAGGCTTCTAAAAGCTTATTTAAACCGTAGTGTAGTTAACCAGTAGTATCGTTCCGAGGTGTCAGTTTTCCTTAGGGAACCAGTCACCATCAGAGAGAGAGCGAAGCAGAGGTCTTTCCCTGTTCCTGATGTGATTCAGTGAGGTTGAGTTCTTGGGGGTGAGTGTTGCCTAGCTGCCCTAAACTCCAGCGGAATGCTACAGAAACAGACTTGCTTTTCCCTCCTGGAGTCTCTGTACTTCAAAACTTCTTATTTTTCCTCCAGTCAAATTCCTGTTTCTTTGTGTGGCTGTGGTTGTCCAGGTTCTAAGAGAAAAAGAAGCATTTTTCCCTAAAATATGAATGAAATTAGTGAAGAAAATGGGATTAAATTTATTTTTTAGAGAAGACTTTATTCAGAATGAACCTTTATCTAATATCTAACTTTTCAGACAATACCACCACATTTTAGGCACTGTGGGAAGCAGTATTTTTAGTGAGTTGATTGATACTGTCTTGGGAGTACTTCCCAATTTCCTTCAAATTGTGACTTTTCCCAGCTTCCTTTTCTCTACTTCTGAATTCATAGTTTTCTTCCAAGTTTTAGTGAACTTCCCCTTTCTTTCTCCTCCATCCATCCAGTAGAGCAATATAAAAGTCAAATCTGCATTTTCCAACTCTTGGTGGCACATGATGGGATTTTGGAGACACTCCTGAAGCAAGGAGGCTAGGGATGGCATTAACATCCCCCAGGATAAGGGCTGTAGGGGAGACGGAGGGAAGGTGGCCGTGTATACGCCAGGCATTAATACGTCAGAGGCTGCCTGCATTGACTCAAAAACTGTAATGAAACCTAATGGATAAGCTTCATCTTTGTTTTATCAATAATACATTACTTGCTGTTATACTAGAACTTATTCTAAATGCCTGTACCTTTCTTGTTCTATAGATGATGTAGATGATGTTGCTTGTTAGTTAAAATATTACCTTTTATAAAAGAAAGTCCTGCTTCTTATCATGATGTATGTGACTTAAATGACTGTTTCATATTAAAACTATTTCTTCCTTATGTACTGTTTACATATACCTCTTTTTGGGATATTAGTTCAGTACTTCTATATAAATCTGAGTGTGTTCCACATTGGTGACATGTATTTTTGCAGTAATTTTTTGTTTTGTTTTTAGAGCATGTCTGAGGTAACACATGCACTAGTGCTGTGGTCTGTGGCAAAATTACTGTAATTCAAATTGGAACAAAATGTTTCCAGACTTTGTCCAACATTTATTCCTATGGCAAAGGAAATTACTATGTAATAACTAATTATTTCTTATGCTGGTATGTTTTAAGCTACTCTATGAAGTATGTGAAACATCAATATTTATGGATTAGTAGATGGCCTGATGGCTTTGAAATGGGAGAGAGGGCAAAATTTGCTGTTAGCAATTCATGCATTCATAATACAATGAATACTTCTTAAAAATTTGATCTTCCACTTATAGGTATGATTTACTAAGAACTTAATATCTTAAGGGACAGTGCATATTAGAGTGTTTTTTTTTTTTAGCCTGTACAATTAAAATGATACACTAGACTTTCAACTTACGTCTTCCAATTAAAAAAGATACCAT